GAGAGGGAGAGAGGGAGAGAGGGAGAGGGGGAGGGGAGGGGAGGAGAGAGAGAGGGAGGAGAGAGAGAGGGAGTGAGAGAGGGAGGGAGAGAGGGAGAGAGAGAGGGAGAGAGAGAGAGAGGAGAGAGAGGGAGGAGAGGAGGGAGGGAGGGAGGAGGGAGAGAGAGGAGAGAGAGAAGAGGGGGGGGGGGGAAGAGATTTAAAAAATGGCACGAGGGAGGTTATTGTAATATGCCGGGGGGAGGGGGGAGGGGGGTAGAGAGGGAGGGCGAGAAAGAAAGATTGAAGGCGTTTCGATTCCCCAGCTGTCCTTCATCGCTCCTCGCTCGTACAGGCACGCCACCTGGATCATGCTCTTAATTGCTTTTATAATTACCTCTTGATTTTTATGCTTTCTCTTGCGCCGGGAGGGAAGGGGCCGGGCGAGGGACGGAAGGTAAAAAGGGAGAGAAAGGAAGGGAGCGTACGGTATGCGGGAGAGAAGAGATTATAAATAGATTGATAGATAGATAGATAGATAGATAGATAGATCAATAGAGAGAGAAAGAGAGGGGGAGAGGGAAAGGGTGAAGGAGAGAGAGGGGGAGAGAGGGAGAGGGAGAAAGAGAGACAGAAAGAGAAAGAGAGAGAGTCGCCCTCCGCGCAAGCAGGCAGTAACAGGCGAGTGTGAAGATGACGCAGCAGAGAAACGGCGCGAAGCAAATATTGGCGCGCTTTTTGGGGAAGGATGACTTCAGCGGCAGTTACCAAGATCAAATTAAACTCTCGCCTCCTACTCGGAATAAGCAACATTCCAAAAAAAAAAATAATAATAATAAAGGAGAAATTAACGAAACATACAACACATTCCTCAGACTACCACCTAACGCAAACCATTTAAAATCGTTAAATAAAGAATAATAATAATAAAAAAAAATACTGCACATTTTCATGATGTACTCTCCTCCCCCCCCAAAAAAGGAATACTTTCATGACAGTACATCACGTAGACAAGAACCCCCCTTCCTCCCCCCCCCCCGCCATGTCGCCGTCAGTCCCAGCTACAAGAGCGCCCTTCCTCAGCTCATTAACATTCATAATAGCACAGACGGTTACGTAATAACTCCAAATTACACATTGTCGTCTTGTAAATATACAACCTTGTTTATCTTCTGACCTCGCAAGAAAATAAAACCGAATTATCCACATTTTACCTCCTTGAGCCCTAATTCCGCGCGACTTTTGGCCAGAATCTTCGCAAATATTTACCGCAGATCTTGACCCTTGCAGAAAAAAGAGGACTATTAACAGAGACATTATTTCTGGACGGCCACCGTATTCTCGTGTCGCTCTTGTTTTTAACGAAGACACACGCACACTATTTCCACTCAATTACCGTCATTTTAGAACCGCCGTTTGGTAACCTTCCTCATTTGCATACTTGGCTCTATCACGAAGCCACTTAAAGAACGACCCTCCCCCTCCCTTCTCTCCAGACCCTCCCCCTCTTCCCCACCTCAGCCCCAACCCCCTCGCCGTCTAATTAATCGAGAGACCCAATTCTCCAGCTGAGAAAGACTACAGCGCAACCTGGAACTAAATCAACAGCAAAAGTATATCAGGGTTACGTTCTAGACTTTTTCACATGGAGATCCGCAATTTGTCGAAATATAAACTACAGCAGACGTTTTATTCTCTATCAGAGCCCGATAAGTCCAACTACAGCGTTCGAATGAGATGAGCAATATCATGCAACTGGACATTTTCAACGATAATCCTATGACGAAAAGCCCGCGTGATAAAAGTGACGAAAGCCACGCCCAACGACACATTCCCCGGTTCGGAACGGTTTCGGATCCCTCTTCGAAGCCGCTCCTCGCCGCCCGAGCCCATACCCCGGGGTGAGGGGCGTGCTGGCTCCACAGGGGGCGCGAAGGGAAGTCCGCCGCGGGGTAGGCGCGCGTGTACATGTGGCGTGGATAGGTGGGTGTGTATGGGGGGAGGGTATGTGGGTGGTGTGGGTAGCATGGGCGGTCCGGTCAAAAGTGGGTCATGCTCTTGCGGCCAGTCATCCTATGGGCGGGTATTCTGTACAGGGCCGCCACCTCTTCCTGCCCTTGGGTATTTGTGGGGAAAAAATAACTCGGGAGAGAGGTATGGGCACTTTCTCTTCCCCGACACTTCCTGATTTGCATTACACGTTCGCGCCCCGAGACGCTGACGCCGGAAGATGAAATCCTCGCGAATTTCGAAACTTGTCGGGCACTCAACGCGCATTAACATAATCACGGCTAAAAAGACAGAAAACTCGTAAAACAGACGCGACTCACGCAAGAGATAGCAAACAACCGCACACATTACATAGTGCCAGATAAAAATAGTATGTAAATATAATTGTGTATGCACACGCATACATGTGTGTATGTATGTATATGTATGTATATATATATATATATATATATATATATATATATAATATATATATATATATATATATATTTATATATATATATATATTATATATATATATATTATATATTTATATATATATATATATATATATATATATATATATATATTATATATATATATATATATATATATATATATATATATATATGTGTGTGTGTGTGTGTGTGTGTGTGTGTGTGTGTGTGTGTGTGTGTGTGTGTGTGTGTGTGTGTGTGTGTGTGTGTGTGTGTGTGTGTGTGTGTGTGTGATGTGTGTGTGTGCACATTCATGCACACATACGTATTTGTGACATCATAACCACGCCCACCCACGCATATTACTGCAATCTGGTCTCACATGTCACAAGACGCTCACAAGAAAGAGAAAAGGAGTGTAGTCAGCCAAGGACAGCGAAGGATAGGGTAGGACAGGACAGGAGAGGAAGGGGGTAGGGCGGAGGCGGGCTCGGGAAGGATGAAGGATAGGATAGGAGAGGAAGGGAAGAGGGACGGCGGAGGCGGGCTCGGGGAAGGATGAAGGATAGGAAAGAGAGGAAGGGAGGGAGGGAGGGAGGAGGGAGGAAGGGAGGGCGGGGGCGGGTTCGGGGAAGGATGAACGCAAGTTTTGGGAAGGTCGGTGAGGCTGAGGAAGTCAAAGGTCTCCGCGGGGACAGAGGTCGCCCGGGACATAAACTCTCGCCAGCACAATCCTCCCTTCATGAGGCCGAGGCTGAGGTTGGACGAGACAAACGCGCGGCCCGGAGAGGCCTCGTAATGTGCGGCGAGGAGACGGCTTGCGCAGAAAGGGAACGAGAAACAGACAAAGGACAAGGGGCGGCGCCTCCTGCGGGTTCGTTGCGGCGGTCGAGGCACGGGCGCGGGAAGAGATGAACCGCGGGCGGAAGCTGCTCCGAGACATCTGCGCCCCCGCCGCCCACAACCGGTACCGGCGGGTTCCGGCCGGCGGGGAGTGAAAGGGGGAGGCGGGTGAGGGGCGCGGCGCTATGTCCGACTGGAGGCGCTTGGGAAAAAAAAAAAAAAAAAAAGTAACAGCGGCGGAGGGGCAGGGCGGTGGGGGTGGGGGGGGCAAGGGGGAGCTTGGGGCATGACGGAGCCATGCACAAATTATGTAGGCTTCTGTGATTAGATAATAAAAGATTAACCAATAAATAACGTCTTACATCCTAATACTCCCATTCCTCTTCCATAACGCGTCCTCCAACCACGTCATACTCCCATTCCTTCCGCGCAACACAACGAATTGCCCGCCACGGCCGGAGCACACCAGGAACCGCTGCCATCGAGCACTACGGGCGGCGCTCGGGTTTCAGGGCCGTCCCGAAAACACAGACGAATCCTGAGTAAACATCCCACGGCTCCTGGCCTGTCACTCATCCTGACACTTGCGCTAGGATACAAATGGCATCCTCCTAAGTGCCGGTCGGCGGTGTCAAGGGGCGGTGTCAAGGTCGCGTAGGCAAGGACTCTTCTCAAAAAGACTCGGTCATCTGACAGCATACTGATTTACATACTTATTCTAGGCCCCCTCATATTTACCGCTGCGTGCACTGAAGGGAACGAAATTAAAAACATTTTAGTCTCTTCTAAAATACATATATCAGTTAACGTTTTTAACGGGACTTTATGCCATAAACACATACACACATCTGGCCATAAGTTATTGAAGGCTTTCTAACGGTCTGTAGAGTAAACCTGCATCTCGTTAACGCGTCACGACTAATTTCGCAGCGCGCGCACTCCCGTCCGTCTGATACACGCCTGCCTCTTAATGGTAACTAGAAAATGCTATTAACATATCAGTGCGCGCGCGCGTGTGTATGTATCTGTATCTGCATGAGTGGTCATCATCCGACACACTTATGATAGAGGACATGCCGTTCTCACTTGCACTAAACTATCTTGTTTATTAGAGGTTGTGACTCATGAACTGCCCGGACGATGCGGTGGCCTCGGTGTGGAGGTGGTCACGTTCGCAACAGAAGTATCTACTTATGTTAAATCGGTAAATATTTATGATACTAATCCTCTGACATGCTGCCTCCTGAATGTGCTGAAGAGACTTCTCAGGAGAAAAAAAAAAAAAAAAAAAAAAAAAAAATACTGAAATGTTCCGTCATTGAAGAGAGTTACAAATATGATGACATGAGCTTGACTGACTGATTAACCAACCGGCTGTTCATCTGACTGACTGACTGACTGACATGCTATTCCCCCGGGCCCGACGCCAGCCTTCGCACAGGTGCTCTAATGAGGCGCCGCTGGTACAAGATCATCATAATGAGCCTTAAACAGCAGGCGGACCAGCGACACGGCTGCCGCGGCCCGCCCAACTGATCTGAATGAGCCCGAGAACTCGCTTGGGACCGTAAGCGAGCGCGAAAACTTTCTCCTCCGCCCTTGTTGCCAGCGCCGGACATTATCGCCTGAGAATCTGCCGATGATGAGGCGTCACTTGAGCGCCTCGCGGATGCTCTGTAAACAACGTTCTCAAGTGGCCCGAGAGCCTGAGCCGAGTTCGCGCGGCACTCAGGGCCAGCGCACAGTACTCAC